ATTACTGTTCCGTTCGGTTGTTTTCGACAGTTTTCTGTTCGATTATCTCTTCTTCACCCCGCTATGCTTTTCTGAAGTTTTCAGTTTTTTTTTCTGATTTGCTAGCTATAGATTCAACCACTCCGCCTGTGACTAAGCCTCCGAATTTCTCCTCAACTTTTTTCTCGTCACTGACGCTTTTTCCCCTAATTTCTGATTGCTCAACATCTTTTTCAGATAAACTCAAGACACATCTAAACTAGAAATGTCCATTTAGCCCAATGTTGTCGGTATCGATCTCGGCACGACCCACCCTTGTGTCGGTGTCCTCATGCACGGCAAGGTCGAAATTATCGCCAACGATCAATGCAGATCATTTGATTCGAATCTCAAATGTTAGATTTTTAGGAAACTGCACCACTTTCTCGTACGTCGCCTTCACCGACAGCGAGCGCTTGATCGGAGATGCGGCGAAGAACCAGGTCGCCATGAACCCCACACAATACAGTCTTCGGTATGCACTTTATGGATTTATCTTATTTTCTTTTAGATGCCAAGCGATTGATTGGCCGCAAGTTCGAGGACTCTGCCGTCCAGTCCGACATGAAGCACTGGCCCTTCAAGGTCATCTCCGCTGAAGGAGGGAAAGCCCAAGATCGAGGTCGACTACAAGTGCGAGACCAAGACCTTTCACTCCTGAAGAGATTTCCTCCATGGTGCTCATCAAGATGAAGGAAACAGCTGAGGGCCTTCCTTTGATCAACCGTCAAGGATGCCGTCGTCACTGTCCCTGCCTACTTCAACGACTCTCAGCGTCAAGCCATTAACGATGCCGGAGCCATCGCTGGCCTCAACGTGCTCCGAATTATCAACGAGCCTACCGCTGCTGCCATCGCTTGACGGTCTCGATAAGAAGGCCAGCGGCGAGCGCAACGTCCTCATCTTCGATCTTGGTGGCGGCACTCTTCGATGTGTCGATCCTCACCATTGAGGATGGAATCTTCGAAGTCAAGTCGACCGCCGGAGATACCCATCTTGGAGGAGAAGACTTCGATAACCGCATGGTCAACCACTTCTCGCCGAGTTCAAGCGCAAGCGCAAGAAGGATCTCGCCTCGAACGCCCGTGCCCTCCGCCGTCTGCGCACCGCTTGCCGGAGCGCCAAGAGGACCCTTTCTTCTTCGTCGCAGGTAAATTTGGTCTTGGTCGATTTGGTGGCCTTTCGTACTTCCTTACTAACGCTTTGTTTTCAGGCTTCGATCGAGATCGATTTTCTCTGGCGAGGGCATCGACTTCTATACCAACATCACCCGTGCCCGCTTCGAAGAGCTTTGCGCTGATCTCTTCCGCTCTACCATGGACCCCGTCGAGAAGTCTTCCCTCCAGGATAAGATGGACAAGTCGTCCGTCCACGACATCGTCCTCGTCGGAGGCGTTCCACCTGTATTCCCCAAGGTCCAGAAGCCCTCTCGGACTTCTTCTCCGGCAAGGAACTCAACAAGTCGATCAACCCTGATGAGGCTGTCGCGTACGGAGCTGCCGTCCAGGCTGCCATTCTCTCCGGAGACAAGTCTGAGACCGTGCAAGATCTGCCCTCCCTCGACGTTGCCTGCCCTTCTGGGTAAACTTTGAAGACTAGTGTCTCTATTTAACGCTGGGACACTCAATTCATTTCTATCTTTCAGGTATCGAGACAGCTGGTGGCGTGATTTGACTGCCTCATCAAGCGCAACACTTACCATTCCGACAAAGACATCGCAGACCTTCACCACTTACGCCGACAACCAGCCCGGTGTGCTCATCCAGGTCTTCGAAGGTGAACGCGCTGAGGCGACCAAGCGATAAACAACCTGCTCGGCAAATTCGAGCTCTGGGAACCCGCCGGAGCCCCGTGGTGTGCCACAACCGAGGTTGGTCGTTATTCCTGTAGCTTTAAAGTTTGGAAATCACCTGTTATTGGTTCAGGTTTTAGGTCACCTTTCGACATTGACGCCAACGGCATCCTGAACGTCTCTGCCACCGACAAGTCGACCGGAAAGGCCAACCATGATCACCATCACCAACGACAAGGGCCGTCTCGAAGGAAGAGATCGAGCGGATGGTGGCTGATGCCGAAGTACAGGGCCGACGACGACGCCCAGAAGGACCGCACGGAGCCAAGAATGGTTCCGAGTCGTATGCTTTCAACATGAAGCAGACGCTCGAGGATGAGCAGCCAAGTCGAGCTCCGAGGAGGACCGTCAGAAGATCGAGTCCAAGTGCGATGAGGTATGTTTTCCGGTTCATTCGCTGCTTTATAATCAACATTCAAACGGAAGGGCCGTTTCTAATTTGTGTTTTTTCAGGGTGCTCAAGTTGCCCGACTCTAACCAGACCGCCGAGAAGGACGAATTCGAGCACCAGCAGAAGGATCTCGAGGCCATCTGCAACCCAATCATCACCCGCCTCACCAAGGAGCTGGTGGTGCGCCGGGTGGAGCGCCAGGAGGAGCCCTGGTGGCGCCGGACCCGCTGGAGGACCGACCATCGAGGAAGTCGACTAATTATTCCGGTTACCGATTGATCTCCGTTCGTTAAATTTGGGGCTTTATCGTTTTTCTTGAAAATAAAATAATTTATTACCGCCGTTCTGGAGATATTTGGAAAGTTGCTTGCACATGAATACATATCAGCAGAGCTACAGGTTTCGTTGGCACACTGGCTATTTAGTGGGCGGAAAGCTTGCAGGGTGTTCCCCGCTGGTAATTGGATAGTCTACTAGACCTCCCGAACTTTTTTTGGCACCCGGACGCCCTGTTCTCTCCACTTACATTCGGTGCGTTTCTCATTAAAACTTTCGAATTCAAATCTAATCGAACTATATCAATGGTGGTTTATTATGACCGAAATTGTACTTCCAGCTTGTTTTGAAAGTTGGTGTTCGTTTTCAACGCCCTGCGCCTCTTTCCCCGCATGTTGTTTTGCCCTCTTGTTGACCAGTAGCCCCACCCAACGCTTTCTGTTTTTCTCGCTTGCTAACCTACTCTAATCGATCCTTTGCAGCAATTCACCGGTTCAAGGCTCAATAATGGTCCTTCTTCAGAAAGTTGCCCTACCGATTGCCCGACGATTCGTCAGCACTACTCGACCGACAATGAGCGGAAAATCTGCGCTGGTGCTCCTCGTTGATGGCACCGAGGAGATGGAGGCCGTTATTACGATGGACATCTTGCGTCGTGGTGATGTCAAGGTTTGTTGCAACGTCGTTTTTATATTGTCGATAGTATTATTTGCTATATTTGAGGAATTACGGCGGATTTTGGGGTTTTTCTTTTGCAACTCTCTCGTTTCTAGGTTACGGCCGCTGGATTGTCCGGAAGCGGCCTGATCAATTGCGCTCGCGACACCAAGATCACGCCTGACGCCGCGTTCGCTGATGTCAAGGACAAGAACTTCGACATGATCGTCCTCCCCGGTGGCCCCGGCAGCAGCAAATACGGAGAGTGCCCGGAAGTGGGCAAGCTGCTCCACAAGTACACCGATAGCGACCGTTTCGTGGCCGCGATTTGTGCCGCGCCGGACGCCCTTCGAGCACACAAGGTTTCGCCTGTGAGTTTTAGTATTTTGCAATTTTCTGTTTTGAACCCTTTTATTTATGTTCCGTTCTAGGGAGCTTCCGTGACCGCCTATCCTTCGGTGCGTGAAGGAATCGAAGGTGCCGGCTATAAGTTCCTCGAGCAAGACGTCGTCGTCGATAAGAAGCTCATCACCTCCCGAGGCCCCGGAACTGCTTTCCAATTCGGACTGAAGCTCGTCGAAGCGCTCCAGGGCAAGGACAAGGCCCAAGAAGTCGCCAAGGCCACCCTCGTCGACTACCATTAATTTGTGCGTATCGCGTTTGTTTTCTTTTTGCATTGTGATTAATTAGCCGTTGAAAATATTTTGAATTTCGTCGTTTTGAAACATGTGACTGGTATAAACTTAGTACTTTATTTGGCTTTCGAATCACGCTGGTACTGGGAGGCTTCGTTTCTTAGTTTTGAAAGCGGGTGATGGGCTTTATTGCGGTGGGGTGGATCCTTTTCCGCTTTTCGTCTAGAGTCGCGTGGTGTGGCGGGGGGGAGGTTCCCATTTCGCCGTAATTGAATGCTTGGCAGATACATCTTCAGGGGTTGTACGTTTGTTTCGTTGGGTGGTGGGTTTGGCTTGGTAGTTAAAGGGTGAATAGAAGCTTTGTTGCATTGTTATTTCTATGTTCTGGTGGGGGGTCAGAATCTATGCCTCACCGCGCGTTCAGCCATTATTTATTGGGGCAGGGTTCATGGACCAAGGGGTGGGGTCTTCGCGCCTTCGCCTCCACGCTCCAACGGGACGTTCGCTAATTCGGAATTCATCCCGGTGGTCCACCTTTGACCGGCGAATTCGGATGTCAACAAACCAAACTTCCAAATAATCAGAGTATTTTCTAAAAGAATCAAATGATCATAAAAATATGCTAGGAAATCTTGCTATTATGAAAAGAGTCTAGTCGCTTCAAAGTTGTTAGTCTAGTCTCGATCTTCATCGTATATGTCAACATGGTTCTCAATTGGCTGAGGCTGAGCGGGTGGCTCTAGGCCGTCGGGAATGTTGCTTAATAGGTGTTTGCGTGGATCCAATTCCGCGGTTTTTGCTACTTTTTCGGGGCCATTTTGGCGCATGATTCCTTTCTAAGGCCATTCTATGGTCGTTTAATGGGGGTGAACGGACGTTGAGCTTGGCATTTCCGAGTTTTGGCCATATGGTGGCAGTTTAAAAATGTGGATAGCTTTTTTTCGATGGCTATATGATCTGCAGTAGCCTCGAGAAAGTTTGAAATAGAGTATTTTTCAATAAAAAAAGCTTAATGAATTTGGTTTATCTCTTTCTGTTGCAAACCAATGTCCCATCCACCACCCAACACCAACTTAGCAGATCTCACGTTTTTGGGCGTTAATTTATTCGGTGTTTACCGTGTGCCCGCAGCACCCCATCCATATCCTGATGATGTATGTAGACGACGACCGCCGCACCTCCGCCGCCCAATTCATCAGCTCGAATTGGCCGGGCTTTCATTCTTTTTTTTTTGCTGGCCGTTTAACCCGATGGTCGGCGAGTGGGTGCTCGAATTGAAGTGTTCCGTTGTGTGGTGACGACGTAAAAACCACGAATTTTCGCTTGCACCTAATGCCATTTTAGACGGGCAGGAGCGTATTTTTATGGATTTTGAGGGATTAAATAAATTTCTGGTTCTTTCGCATTATCGGGGTGGGGACAGCTTTTCTCAGGACCTAATTTTGCTAGGATAAAGAGGAGAAATGCTTCTAAGCAGTTTTTTAATGACAAATTTTTATGATTTTATAAAGGTTGCAACGCCTATTTTTAAAGCCCTACCCCGAACCCACCGATTTCCATCCCATTCAACCCCGGGCAGCTTCCACTTTTTCCGCGCTTTTTCCGACGTTCCTACGGTTTCTGCAGACTTTAATTTCATTTCTTCTACCCTCCAGCTACATTGGTTTTTCATTGAACCCACTGAGCGTCTACTCTTGGCCGCAATGAGATCATTTTCCAGTGGCTTCTCCCCCGAGGCGGTGTCAAAATTAAACCGACTTTTGTTTACATTCGGGCTGCTTCCTCTCGGGTGGCGTCTCAGTTTTTTGGAGTGAATTCGGGGTGCCGTATGGGGCCAATGGACAAAAGAAATGGTTGGGCGTGTGCTGTTGCAATGCGGACCTCATATGGTCGATGGTCATGGGGAAATTTTTTGTGACGGTAAATATTGCAAAGAAATGGGAAAGGCAATCTCGCAGTGATTCTTTTGGAACTATCATTGATTGTAGATAGCTTTCTAGCTTGGTTTGTCAATCCATCAGCCCTTTTTTGGGAAATATTTTTGATTTTTAGGCGATGATAAGAGATTTATCTATACTGCGTGAAGGAGATCTATGAACTCAACCGGAAATGCTTTTTTTTTGAGGGATTTCTATGAATCTGGGGAGCCTTTTGGGGTAGCCTTGATATACCTTTGGAGCACGTGTGGAAATTCTCGGAATTTTCTGGACAATAAACTCCATCCTTTAGCTTAAAAAATTCTGTGCTTTGGCCAGAAAGATGGCGTTCATCTGATCTCGCCGAAAATCCTATCTTCATCCCGGATCTCGGCCGAGAAGAAGAAGCCTCCACACCCCAAAATGGAGATGATCCCCTAAATGTAATAGGGTTTGTGGCTCGGGCACTGGCTGCTGCTCCTTTTCGAGAAGTGCCCTGAGGGTATATCCGCTTGAAGGACGGGGGGTGAGAAGGCCCTTCTCGCAAGTTAGGCGTGTGAAAGCGGTGGCTCTAGGAATGGCTAGGGGGAGAACGAGGAGAAGGAGGAGAGGGGTGGAGGCTGAGCCTCTGAAACAGCCGGCAATACACACACCAGGGCACACACCTCGTTCTTTCCGCAACAAGCCTACCTCTACGGGCTTTCCTTATTGTTAGGCTTCTAAAAGTCCTTTGCTGCTATTTGGAGGTCGAGAAAAATGGACGAAGGTATGGAAAATCGTTTTTATTGCAATTTTTTTCCGCAATACTGTAGACTTGTGCGATGTTTTAGAGGAAAGCCGGGGAGAAGGGAAAGGGGGAGAAAGTTGCTATGATTTTTATTTAAAAATCGTTTTTAAACGGCAAAGGATGAAATAAAATAGTCTCGCTCCCCCTTTTTACCGTAATCAATCCCTCTCCAACCTATCTAAATTTATTTTTGTCTTTAATCTATCCCTAATCCTCGTGCTCCGTTCATCCCCGACCTCAATAATTCGACTTTGATTTTCATAAAAATCCGGATACGTAGAAGAAGATACGGTTGTTTCTTTCGCTCGAAATAACCAATGAATGGGGGATCAAGAATAGGGATTAGTGGAAACAAGGCCAGCTCAGCCCTCTTCGGCGCCAGAAACAGGTTGGGGGCCCCTTTCATGAGATGAAATTCATTTCATTCAAATGTTGTTGACCAGAAAATCAGCAGTATTTTTTTAGATATATTTAAGGCGAGATTTTGCCCTTTGAACTAATATACATGAGATACAGATGCGCTTTGGAATTCTAACCCTTCCCTTGATTGCCGTTTTTCATAGTTTATGGGGGTTTATGCGAGAATTTGCTGGACGGGCTGATAAGGGAACGAGAATTTCTGAGCTGACCGTCTGGAGGGTATTATTACAAATTGCCGTAGCTAGATGCAAATTGAGGTGAGACGTTTTTATAAGTTTAATGGGTTTTTCTACGATCTTCAAAATTTCTAATTTTCGATGAGCGACTTAGAACGAGAACGGACTTAGAACGAAATAGTCAATCACCAAAAATCTATCTTTTTAATTTATCCTGTCCAAGTCAACATTGAATTTTTCAAAGGTTTTGAGCTATGTTTTAAGCAAATTAAAGGTGCGCAGGGGTTTTTTTTATGAGTTTTCTTCCATTACCTCCAGAATCTCGATCCATATTTGTTTGTGTGAGAAAAGCGTTGCTTGAAAGATGAATTGCGCTTATTTTGACTCCAAAATTTTTCCGGAGTCTATGCGTAGTTTTTCAAGCGTTTCATAATTTACCCAAAGTTTTGCATGAACTTTTCCCGACCGAAGCTCTCTTTTCCATCTTTTTGTCCCGAATGCAATAAATGTTCTGCGGATCGGCTAAAGTGTCGGCTTCTCCTTCATACGAAGTGCTAGTCGCCGCTCGGTGGCCATTGAAATATTAATGGAGGCTCATCTTCTTCTGGAGGATCGAGATGAGAAGGCGGCGTTTACCCTCTCTGACTGTAAAGTGTTTTTACTCAGGCTGGCGTTTTAGAATGGGACCAAGCCTATCTTGTGCAGAATTTTTCGCTGATTCCGAATCTGATTTCCAAATTTGCTGCCGACCTTTATTTAAAAAGTTATTCGACATTTAAGCTTAATAAATTGACTAAATCTGGATTTTTTGCGTTATTTTTTAAGTTGTCGTCACCTCCGACGTTAAAACTGGCTCGGGAACGGTTTTAGAGGTCAAAGCACAATTTTATGCAAAAAATCATGTGTTTTTGTGCAAAAAAGCAAAAGAAATTGTGCAGGGAGGGGATCGATCCGCCGCCCTGTGCCTGGCAAGCGAACAGCTTACCAATGCACCATGGTGCCAACCGAGAAGGGGGCTTCGGGAGAGTAGATAAGGGGCGCAACAATACCTGGACCCAGGCAGGGAATATTGGGCCAGCATCCGAATTTATGCCGTTTTTAAGCTTAATTTAGACCAAAAATGACTTCCCAAGGCGAAGTCCGCAGCAAATTTGGAAAACGGATTCGGAATCAGCAAAAAATTCTGAACAAGATAGGCTTGGTCCCATCCTGAAACGCCAGCCTGAGTAAAAACACTTTACAGTGAGGTGGCATCTGACCCAATCCTGATCTCTGACTCTCTCCTCAAGTACTTCTGCGAGCAATTTCCTGGTCTCGGCTTCTTTTAATGAGAGTTGGCACGTGCTTCAAGCTTATCAAGCGAATGTACTAAGGCGGAATGTTGCGTAGTTTTATGTATATTTTCGGATTTCCTCAGGCTTTATACCTCCCGAGAGGCTAGCGTAATTTTAAGGTGTCAATAGGTACTACCGTAATCCCAAGAAGTGATCTACGTACTTCTAGCAAACCCCTGCCCCCAAATAATTGGCGGCAACACTCGAAAGGGCCCCCGTGCTATTTGGGTCCATTCAAAAAGTGGCCCAATTTTGCGTGGGGGGCCCAGTGGATGGGATTGTTGGCCGTGTTCCCACAGATGTTCCTCTAGAGCGAGCACCGCGGGTAGCAAGCAAAAATTGTTGCAAATTTGGGATCGGGGAATTCAGGAAG